ATACAACATCAATACAACAGACTCAACATCATGCAGAGAAAACATACAACATCAATACAACAGACTCAACATCGTGCAGAGAAAACATACAACATCAATACAACAGACTCAACATCATGCAGAGAAAACATACAACATCAATACAACAGACTCAACATCGTGCAGAGAAAACATACAACATCAATACAACAGACAACATCATGCAGAGAAAACATACAACATCAATACAACAGACTCAACATTATGCAGAGAAAACATCAATGTAACAGGTCACCAGACATGAGCTAAAGACACCTGTATGTTCCTCTCCTGTCCTTGTTTGACTAAAACCTATTTGTACCAAAAAAGGGAGGTCATTTTATTCCTGATTGTGTACGTACAAGGGAGGTAACTAGAGGTAATGTTTTTAGTAAATAAATGTCTCCAATATTTGACAAGCATTTTTTTTACATTCTTAACCAGGGCAGACAATTCATCATCACAGAGTTACCCGCCCCTAACAACCTACCATACAGAGTTCTCCACCCTTAATAATCCACTATAGAGAGTTGTTCCCCCTAACAATGGACTAAACAGGAGCACCGAGGACTGAATGACCGCCATCAAGCGGACTAAACGAAATTTGTTTGGTTTCCGTTGGCGGCCATCTTGCGGTGTCTGGTCAAAGTGAGTCCCCAAACAAAAGAGCCGTTTCCGGTGGTCAAGCAGATGTCACGCCGGTGAAACATGGACTGACCGGTGATCGTCTGCTCCAATCACGCACAAAGCAATCAGGCTAATTAATTAAATTAATTAAAAGAGTACCGCAATTTACCCCGTAACAAGACTAATTTGGTTACAACAAGCTTAGTTGTTTCATGTCAAACTAGTAGAACGGCGGAGAATGGGACGTGATAGGGGTTTTTTTTTTTGGAGGGGGGGGGGGTGACTTTAACTCTGGTCACGTTTTTTTTTTTTAACTCAAATTCTGATTTCTAAAATATCGATAACATGAGTACCGTTTTAGGTAGCTAGACGGAATTTAATAACATGTATAGAATCTTATTCACTGGTTTCTATAAAAAATGTGAGTGATTTCCGGTGATCGGGAGTAGTAATTTACGCTTTTTCCCGATTTCCAAAAAAAAACAACAAAAAAAAAACAAAAAAAAAACAAAGAAACTATACGAATGTATGTATCTTGATTCCTCTGTCTATTGTCCGTCATATGCGGAACATGCGATCAAAATTTCGACCATGTTTTCCGGACAAATTAATTTGAAACTTTTCAGACGAAATGTGATTAAATTAGATGTTTAATTAACTTTTAAAAATTAATAAATATTTCCTTAATAAAGCAGCAATTTTCCTCTCTTAAACACACATTGTGTGCATTCATTGAGTGCGTAATTTTTTTTTCTACGCAATTCATTTTCATTTAAAAATAGAATTAATATACCATAATGGCTAGGGAGATCACTCCTGTTTTATTCCTAACTAGAATACCCGTCATCCGTTGGATAACTGTGGGTTTCGGGGGTCATCCATCAAAAAACATCACGTCTGTCACTCAGAGGCATAGCGACCCTTCCCGGCGCCCGGGGACAACTTTTTCGATTTTAACCCCCCCCCCAAGATTTCGATTTTCACCCCCCCCCCTCAAACTTTTGATGTGCACCCCCCCCCCCCCCCACTCAAACTTTCGATTTGAACCCCCCTCAACCTTTCAATTTATTTTTCCAAACCATTTTGGCGCCCCAACATATGTCCCCCCCGCCCCCCCCCCCTTCCCCCCTCCACCTCCCCTTACCCCCCCCCCCCCGCCTCCCCTCCCGCCCCCCCCCTCCTCGCTACGCTACTGCAGTGTCACTTATCGTCACAAAAAACAGACCCCACATTCAAAAATATGTTTCTTATCTTTTAAAAACACCGAAAACACCGATTTCGGACTATCCCTTCATATGCTGACGTCACATGTGACCTACTCAACTCTACTTCACCTGCCCAGTGTCCCGCCAAGTCTCAGACAACATGTTTTTATCGTTTAAAAAACGATTCCAGCCGAGCATGTCTCTGACCACACTATCCTTTCATATGCTTAGGACAAAGAAACAGATTAACTCTACTTCACCTGCCCTGTATCCTGCCAAGTTCAGATAGGCAACTTTATCATTCACATCTAAAAAAAAAAAATTGAAAAAAAAAGATCATTGACATATTGGTCTAGAACCTGTGCCACCCACATGAGAGCGGACTACGCTATCAACTTAGCTATTTACTCGTGACGTCACAAATGAATTTTTATACTATACTTTTGAGTCTCCGCGCATAGATCTAGATCTACGTCTAGTAGTAGAATCTAGTAACTTTCAAATTGAATTTTATCTTAAATTAGCCAAACAAAGATTTATATAAAATAATTAAGGCCTGAAATAGATTCTAGATGTATTAAGGCCTGAAATAGATTCTAGATGTAGAATTTACATTAAGTCTAGATCTAGAATTTACATTGAGTCTAGTGACCTAGATCTAGGCTAGATCTAGATCTAGGCTAGATTCATAACTTTCCTTCGACAGCTGATCTTTAGATCTAGAGAAATTTATTGTAAAACTAAATGAAAAAAGACAGTTTAAAATTGATATAAGTGTTGGAACGTAATAAATACAGCAAACGGACGTATTGTTAAAGTTATGACCGACAGAAAATTAGATTTAGAACGCGTTAAACTTTTGAATGGGAACACAATTTTCTTCGATAGACGCCGCCATTTTATTGTACTAAAGAGTAAACAAAAACCTGTGACGTCACGGTCCCGCCGAGTGTAGTGGTCGTTTTAATCTTTTTTAAAAAAATGGGTTATTCTGCGTATGAATAAATCAATAAATTAATTAACGTCTTTAAATAAATGTGTGATTAACAGTCTGTCTGCATTAAAAAATTATTCTCTACCTACATACTATTTTACAGCTATCCAGATTGAGTCGAACATATCACAATAGTCGATCAGGCAAACAAACAAACAAACAAAAAAACAAACAAAAAAACAAATAAATATTCAAACATGTAAACAAACTTGAGTTTTAGTAGTATACTAGAGTACCCGTCATCCGTTGGATAACTGTGGGTTTCGGGGGTCATCCATCAAAAAACATCACGTCTGTCACTCAGAGGCATAGCGACCCTTCCCGGCGCCCGGGGACAAACTTTTCGATTTCAACCCCCCCCCCCCCCCCGCAAGATTTCGATTTGCAACCCCCCCCCCCCTCAAACTTTTGATGTGAACCCCCCTCAACCTTTCAATTTATTTTTCCAAACCATTTTGGCGCCCCAACATATGTCCCCCCCCGCCCCCCCCCCCCTTCCCCCTCACCCCGCCTCCCCTCCCCCTCCCGCCCCCCCCCCCCTCCTCGCTACGCTACTGCAGTGTCACTTATCGTCACAAAAAACAGACCCCACATTCAAAAATATGTTTTTTATCTTTTAAAAACACCGAAAACACCGATTTCGGACTATCCCTTAATATGCTGACGTCACAGGTGACCTACTCAACTCTACTTCACCTGCCCAGTGTCCCGCCAAGTCTCAGACAACATGTTTTTATCGTTTAAAAAACGATTCAAGCCGAGCATGTCTCTGACCACAATATCCTTTCAAATGCTTAGGACAAAGAAACAGATGAACTCTACTTCACCTGCCCTGTATCCTGCCAAGTTCAGATAGGCAACTTTATCATTCACATCTAAAAAAAAAATTGAAAAAAAAGAAATCATTGACATATTGGTCTAGAACCCGTACCACCTGCATGAGAGCGGTCTACGCTACCATTTTAGCTATTTACTCGTGACGTCACATGTGAATTTTTATACTATACTATGTGTCTCCTTATGCAACTTGATTTACCTAGATCTAGATCTAAGTCTAGTAGTACTAACTTTCAAATTAAATTTTATCTTAAATTAGCCAAACAAAGATTTATATAAAATAATTAAGGCCTGAAATAGATTCTAGATGTAGAATTTACATTAAGTCTAGATCTAGAATTTACATTGAGTCTAGTGACCCACATCTAGGCTAGATCTAGATTCTAGATCTAGGCTAGATTCATAACTTTCCTTCGATAGCTGGTCTTTAGATCTAGAGAAATTTATCGTAAAACTAAATGAAAAAGATAGTTGAAAATTGATATAAGTGTTGGAACGTAATAAATACAGCAAACGGACGTATTGTTTAAGTTATAGCCGGCAGAAAATTAGCTTTGTAACGCGTTAAACTTTTGAATGGGCCACAAAGTCTATGATGGAGTCCGCCATTTTTATTGTACAAAAAAGTAAACACAACAAGGGACGTCACTATCCCCACAAAGTTTATTCAAAGTATTAACATTTTTAAAAAAATACGGTTAATTTAACTATGAATAAATCAATAAATTAATTAACGTCTTTAAATAAATTTGTGATTAACAGTCTGTCTGCATTAAAAAATTATTCTCTACCTACATACTATTTTACAGCTCTCCAGATAGAGTCAAACATATCACAATAGTCGATCAGGCAAACAAACAAACAAACAAAAAAACAAACAAAAAAATAAATATTCAAACATGTAAACAAACTTGACTTTTAGTAGTATATAGATAGATAGATAGATTAAAGGGAATTAAGTTTGTTATTTCAGTGTTGAATTTGACATGATGAGTCAAAGAAAAGTTTAATTCTGCTTATCAAAAAACCATCAGATTTTAAACAAATTGTAAACAAAGGTTAAGAAAGATTAGAGGTAAACATAGTAATGGGGTTAATAATAATATGGTTTTGTTACACTTTGTGAAGTTGGGTGGTAAAGCGCATGGATACTACACGAAAGTCCCGAGTTTGAATCCCGGGTTTGATTCCGTAGGATGTCAATGAGTCCGCCAATGTTCACAGAAACAGGCAACTCTACTTCATCTACTGTGGTTGGTATTACGAGTGGTTGTTTTAACGTGTGGTTGTTTTAACGTGTGGTTGAGAGTGTGGTAGACCGTGAGGTTGACTAAGTGGTTGACTAAGTGGTTGGCCCTGTGGTTGACCGTGTGGTTGGTAGAGTGGTTGACCGTGTGGTTGACCGTGTGGTTGACTGTGTGGTTGGTAGTGTGGTTGACCGTGTGGTTGACCGTGTGGTTGACCGTGTGGTTGACCGTGTGGTTGACCGTGTGGTTGACCGTGTGGTTGACCGTGTGGTTGACTGTGTGGTTGGTAGTGTGGTTGACCGTGTGGTTGACCGTGTGGTTGACCGTGTGGTTGACCGTGTGGTTGACCGTGTGGTTGACCGTGTGGTTAACCGTGTGGTTGACAGTGTGGTTGACCGTGTGGTTGACCGTGTGGCTGACCGTGTGGTTGACCGTGTGGTTGACCGTGTGGTTGACTGTGTGGTTGACCGTGTGGTTGACTGTGTGGTTGATCGTGTGGTTGACCGTGTGGTTGGTAGTGTGGTTGACCGTGTGGTTGACTGTGTGGTTGACCTTGTGGTTGGTAGTGTGGTTGACCGTGTGGTTGACTGTGTAGTTGGTAGTGTGGTTGACCGTGTGGTTGACCGTGTGGTTGGTAGTGTGGTTGACCGTGTGGTTGACTGTGTGGTTGGTAGTGTGGTTGACCGTGTGGTTGACCGTGTGGTTGACCGAGTGGTTGACCGTGTGGTTGGCCGTGTTGTTGACCGTGTGGTTGACTGTGTGGTTGGTAGTGTGGTTGACCGTGTGGTTGACCGTGTGGTTGACCGAGTGGTGGCCGTGTGGTTGACCGTGTTGTTGACCGTGTGGTTGGCCGTGTGGTTGACCGTGTGGTTGACCGTGTGGTTGACCGTGTGGTTGACCGTGTGGTTGACCGTGTGGTTGACCGTGTGGTTGACCGTGTGGTTGACCGCGTGGTTGACCGTGTGGTTGACCGTGTGGTTGACCGTGTGGTTGACCGTGTGGTTGACCGTGTGGTTGACTACCATGTGGAGCCGGCCCATGTTTACACCAGACCGTGTCCACTTCACCATTACCGTCCCCCATGTTTTAGAGTTTAGTTACCCACGTTTCCTGTTGACCTAAGGCACGATTGGAAATGACGATGACGTCACTCCCCAACCCCCCCCCCCCCCCCCACCCATCTTACAATTAACAGAAATGGTTGAGTATCTCAATCAATGACGTGCGTCCATCTCCATTGTGCTAATTGTTCGGCCATAACAGGAGTAACTTCGACTTGATGGGTTGGTAGTCCTAGCCCTCAGGGGAGGGGGGATGGGAGGAGGGAGGGACGGTGGGGGAGATGTGACACTACCAAGCGTGACATCCACTCGCTAGAAGAGCTCCCGCTGTGAAAGAGTTAAAATCCTTTAAGCTCCGCTTTAGCTCCGTGAATGCCGGACTCACAATTTTAAGTGGCTTCGTTGCGTAATAGAGGCAAATATTTTAATGAAGGAGAGGTGTTAGTGTGTGTGTGTGGGGGGGGGGGGGGGAGGGGGGTCGAGTCGAGGTTTACAAAGATTTTAAATAGTCGGCTGTTTGGAATGTCCCCTGGGGCTGGCATCTGGGGGAGGGGGGGGGGGGTAAAGAATGGGGTGGGGTTTGACAGGAAAATCTGGGGGTGTTTGAGGCACACTCAACAGATTTAAAACGGTTACACCCTACCCCCACCCTCGACAGCACCAATACAGACCCCCCAACTCCTTCTCTGGTCAATTCTACCTGTAATACATGCATGCAATTTTTGTAATAAAATTCACATATTGATTAAAAGATCTTATATCTTTATATTAATCTCACCCTCTATATAAAATAATGTCTGTCTGTCTGTCTGTTTCTTTGTGCCTGTGGTTTTGTGTTGTATGCATTAGTACATTCTTCATCTGATCGCCATGAAAGTTTGTGCACGATTACACAACTTCCACACAACTCCACCCCCCGTACACGAGACAGTAAGGACGGGAGTGTAAAAAATATTTAATGTTAAAGCATGGTGAGTAACTTTAGCAAACATGCTGTAACATTACGCGTGACGTTATTTTCGACAAGTTCCAAACTTGTAAGAAAACACTTCATGTTATTTTCGACAAGTTCCAAACTTGTAAGAAAACACTTGACGTTATTTTGACGACCTCTGTTTCTCCAATGACGAGTAACATCGACTGCCTAAAACTGAATTCCGTGTAGTCTCCTGGCATTCGGCCATTCTAAACACGCCAGGGCTCACCTCACCCCCTACCCCCCCCCCCCCCCACCACCACACCAAACACCATCGTATTTACATAAACGCTACATACACCCTACAGTCACACGTCTCCACATTGGTAGTAAATCACCAACACAAAAAACCTAAACGCAATTTGATTGGCTGTCGGATTTTGCCGCAGTTTTTTCCGTCTTTCGGTTTCCTCCTCTGCTGGTTTCACTTCAAATAAGTCGACGGGGGACAAAGGGGTTGCAGTTTGTTGGCCGGGAACCCATTTTCTCCATTAAGCGGCCGTTCGGACACCAGTCTTAACCTACCCAGGGTAGACCACGGAGCTGGGAATAAAAACCTAACGATTCAAACCCGCACTAAATTGATTAAGCATGTTTCTGCGCGGCAAGCCTTTTTACGACAAAGTCCAACGGGACAATGCACTTCCGCCTGCGCTAAGAGGTCGGCTGCGCAAGGACCGGATATGGAGCCCGACTGGTTGGAAAGGGGGGGGGGGTGAAAATAATCCACTAGCGCATGCGCAGGTCGTATAAACAAGTTTTTTTTTTTTTTAACTACACCTTACGCGTGCAGACTCGTTTTGTAAATGTCAGTCCAGTGGCCTTCACCTTTGATGTTTTGACCTTGCTTGGTTACGGTCTCAAGAGGGAGGTGGGTGGGAGGTGGGTGAGGTGTGTCGCAGGTATTGGTGATGACATCAAACTATGGGTGGTGATCAATTCTTACAGCAGGTAATTATCAATGCCTAATACAGGTGGTGACACATGTCTAATGCAGGTGGTGACAAATACAGGTGATGGACAATGCCTAATGTAGGTGGTGACCTATGCAGGTGGTGACCAAAGCATGATGTAGGTGGTGACCTATGCAGGTGGTGACCAAAGCCTGATGCAGGTGGTGACCAAAGCATGATGTAGGTGGTGACCTATGCAGGTGGTGACCAATGCCTGATGCAGGTGGTGATCACAGCCATCGATCTGTTGCAGCTGACCGAAAACTTTGCCGCGCGTGCATCAACCGGAAGTACGACGGAACTGCCGTACTACGGGTATCACGTGATTCGAGTGCTCACCTACGAGCCTGACGCGCGTGCTGTCACGTGGCCGGAAGTTGAGGCGGGCGTCAAGATTTTTGTCAACACACCTGACACACGTGTGTAGTTTCAGCGTTAAACACACACGACATTCACAGTGTTTGTAGCCACGTTTACAAGATTTACCACAAACTACAAACAAACAAACAAACAAACAGACGTTGCGAACTAAATAAAAGCTTGTAAAAATAAAAACTGGTGTTCCCATCAGTGACGCCACTTGGTCAAGTAGAGTACAGGTGTTATGTCAGCTCTCTACAACAACTCACACAATGATTAAACTTTCTGTTCAAGAGTTACATCCAGATAAAACCTGAATTTGAAAGTAAAATCTAAGAATGTACAATTTGGTGCCACCCCTAAATGGTATCAGTGGGTGCCGACCACAACCCCCCCCCCCCCCCCCCTCCACCGCCTTGTGACGCCTCTGAGTCCCAGACCATGTTAGACCAAGACAAATACTGACCCCAAAATAGAAACATCTGATCTGAGTTTAATCTTCATGCCCTGACCAAATATCTGCTCACCACCCTCTCAACAATGTAGTCCCAGTATTTGGAGAAGGTGCCAATGTATCCTCGAGTTTTCCAATTGGTTATCTCAGTTTTATGAGCCTTTCTTAAATAATTAATTGCGTGCAAAGTCGTGATCGTGTTACGTAACAAATATTTTCTAGCTCAGCCTCGCTCAACCACTCACGTGCACCCCTCCCTCCACCTTGTTGACCGTGCGTCGGTGACTCGGCTGGTTTACAGATCCTAACATTGACCCTAACCTTGACCCTGACATTGACCCTGACCCTCTCTGTTGACACACTTCACCTCAACAAGATTGCAGATTATAACCTAAACCCTAATCCATATTAATCAGGTTTGAATCAACTGTAGGTTTCTAAACCACAACCTACCAACCACAACGAGACAACCCCGTCCACTACCAACCACACCGAGACAACCCAGTATACCACTAAAAAAATGTTTGCTAATAAAAAAAATTGGAACTGCAGGAGACTGTGCTAGATTATAGGATAGAAATCAATTAAAAGGTTTTCCTTGCCAGAGGTTGTGATACCTGCAGAGGATGTGATACCTGCAGGTGATACCTGCAGAGGTTGTGATACCTACAGAGGTTGTGATACCTGCAGAGGTTGTGATACCTGCAGAGGTTGTGATACCTGCAGGTGATACCTGATACCTGCAGAGGTTGTGATACCTGCAGAGGTTGTGATACCTGCAGAGGTTGTGATACCTGCAGAGGTTGTGATACCTGATACCTGCAGAGGTTGTGATACCTGATACCTGCAGAGGTTGTGATACCTGCAGAGGTTGTGATACCTGCAGAGGATGTGATACCTGCAGAGGTTGTGATACCTGATACCTGCAGAGGTTGTGATACCTGATACCTGCAGAGGTTGTGATACCTGCAGAGGTTGTGATACCTGATACCTGCAGAGGTTGTGATACCTGATACCTGCAGAGGTTGTGATACCTGCAGAGGTTGTGATACCTGCAGAGGATGTGATACCTGCAGAGGTTGTGATACCTGCAGAGGTTGTGATACCTGATACCTGCAGAGGTTGTGATACCTGATACCTGCAGAGGTTGTGATACCTGCAGAGGTTGTGATACCTGATACCTGCAGAGGTTGTGATACCTGATACCTGCAGAGGTTGTGATACCTGCAGAGGTTGTGATACCTGCAGAGGATGTGATACCTGCAGAGGTTGTGATACCTGCAGAGGTTGTGATACCTGATACCTGCAGAGGATGTGATACCTGCAGAGGTTGTGATACCTGATACCTGCAGAGGTTGTGATACCTGCAGAGGATGTGATACCTGCAGAGGATGTGATACCTGCAGAGGTTGTGATACCTGCAGAGGATGCGATACCTGCAGAGGTTGTGATACCTGCAGAGGTTGTGATACCTGCAGAGGAGGTGATACCTGCAGAGGATGTGATACCTGCAGAGGATGTGATACCTGCAGAGGATGTGATACCTGCAGAGGCTGAAAATAAGGTGTTGATACTGGTGTCCTGGTCCTACTTGCGTTCAAGGTGTTTCTTGGTCCTACCAGTGTTGGTGGTGTTCAATGTCCTGGTCCTACATATGTTTAGCTCAATTTACTGGTCCTACCTATGTTTAGTTTAATGTCCTGGTCCTACCTATGTTTAGTTTAATGTCCTGGTCCTACCTACCTGTGTTTAGTTCGATGTCCTGGTCCTACCTACATGTGTTTAGCTCAATGTCCGGGTCCTACCCACGCGAGCTTCACATCACACGAGTAAAGCTCCGATGACCCCCGTATGATTTTATTTAAAAATATAAAACACAGCCGATGTTAACAAAAACAATAAAAATATTATATTTGCTAAAAATATTTCTTTATTCAAACATTGTTTCATTATATAGCACACATCAGCAGTGAAAAATTTTAATAAATACTGTTTTAAAATACATTCAGAGAGGAATCTATAAATAAACCATGGACGGAATGGTTGGCTCCCTTAGATCACATGACCACCTCACGTGGACACGATCAGCCAATCGATCGATTCACGAAACTTTTCAAATATAAAAAAAAATACAAAGCATTAAAAATAAGTCGGTCGATCTTTCTTAAAATCGTTGCTAGTTTTATAATCTGGGTTGGTGCACATACATGCACTGTACACATCACAAACATACATT